TTTTTTTCACAAATGGGGAAACGGGCCCAGTGTCCCTTACAAAACGGCTGTTAGCCGATCGAGGCATCACAAGCCATGGCCTAGCACATCCAGATTTAGGATGTCCTCTTTGCTCGTGGGACCTCCCCCCTTGAGACAAACCCCTAAGCGCTTGCTGCTCCAAGCCTATACAAAATATGATTTTTTTTTATAATTATTTTTTTTTGGCACATGAGCTACTCCATCACGATTGAAGCCCGCAGAATGTTGGTTCCCACCACCCACTGAGTCAGGAGGACACTCCGACGAGCATCCGTCATCACCCACAGGCAACACAGACACCCCGAACCGAGCGGCCCCCCTAAGAGTGCAGTAGGCACTCCAGACGTGGAACCACCGATTGTTTGGCACTACTTAAGAATGCTCAGTTGGGCACACAGAAAAATACTTATAAAAAATCAGGGGGAGGACAGACAACAGAAGAAATGCTGACATAAATAAAACTGCTTGTGCGTGTGTGTGTGTGTGTGTGTGTGTGTGTGTGTGTGTGTGTGCGTGYGTGTGTGTGTGYGTGYGCGTGTGCGTKTGTGYGGGGGGGTAGGGCGACGCCTTCCCCACCAATCAATCAATCAATCAAAAAAAAAAAAAAAGTAAAAAAAAAAAACAGTGGGTTTGACCCGTGTGTGTGTGTGTGTGTGTGTGTGTGTGTGTGTGTGTGTCGGGGGGAGGGGGACGACCCCTCCCCCACAAATCGATCAATCAATCAATCAATCAATCAATCAATCAATCAATCAATCAATTAATCAACCAATCAATCAATCAATCAATAAATAAATCAATCCAAAAGAAAAAGCAACGAATCAATCAATGAATCAAACAATTAAAAAAAGAAAAAAAAAACAACGGGTTTTCAATAGAAAGACTACATGAAAGTAAAAAAAAAAAAAAGGGGGCTCCATGATTTTTTTCTCCGCCCTCTAAAAACCCACTTTTTGGACCCCCCTTTTTTTTTTTTTTTTTTTTTTTTTTTTTATTTTGGGGGAGGGGGGGGGGCCGGGTCCTGCCGCCGGAATCCAAGCCCCGATTGACAGGACCCCCCTCCCCTCGGCTGCAGCAGGCCGATTTCGACCGCGACCGTGGCGGTCACGACCGCCATGACCGCGGCCGCTGCGTATTCATAGGATGGCGGGGACGAAGAAGACGAGGCTTCGAGAGAGGGAGAAGGGAGAGATTCAGGCTCCTCGCTCTCCTACTCGGAGGTCGGGGATGAGCTATGTGGTGAGGGAGGAGTGGAGATGGACAAAGGATGAAGACAGGACACGTGGCGGATGATGGGTCGAGCCGATCGGCTGGCCGAGACCTCTGGGGAAAGTCGCACCGTCTTTACTTCGTTCGGGCCAAGCTCCACTCCGTGGAATTGGCCAACGAATCGTGATGCTAGTTAACCTTGACGAGCACATTTCCTTACCTGCACGATGTCCCTAATTTGTACTGGGGCCGAGGCCCAATGTTCCCATTCCGAGCTTCGTAGAGAAAATCACACAAAAATGGATACAACTTGAGAAGAAGAAGACGTGAGTTTTACTATCATGGCGACATCAACTTCTCCCCTTCATACCTCGACACTCACACACCGCCGAGGCATCTCAACCCTTCCACTCATTCGCCACTCAGGCTGAGGAATGCTACTATCTACCTTCTATATAAATATATGTTTACTGTATCACTGTTTCACCCGTACGTGGGCGTTCCTGGCCGACAGGTTGATTCATCAACCCGGAATTCAAGTCCTTATGCCTATGCCCTTCTGAGACTCAGTTACAGGCCGTCCTGACCTTTCTAATTTCTGGTCGAAAAACTCTCAGGGTGGGGGCTCTGCCGGCCTCCTTGAAAAACAGAGTCTGCTGATTGGTACGAGGCTAACACCAAACAACGTGGTACCCCTCACTAGACCCGCTCGGGCCTAGCCCTCCAGTTATTCCCGTCGATTCACACTTCCGCTTAATAGGACAAAAAAACACGATGTGGAGACCAAAAACTAAAAATCATCGGCGCGCCTCCGTGCAACGGTGGTATACACAACAAAACAAACCCAGTTGGCATCCATAAAATTCTCATGCGTATCCCGTATCTGGCTATGTGGGATAACCCAGGAAGTTACCTGTCCGTAAGCCATGTTTCAATTACAAAGGACATATCTTTCCAGATCCTACAGCCGTCGCGTCGATGCATCTAATCCAGTCCTGCCAACACGACTTCATCAGGGTAATTTGTTTTTCGGAGATCCTCAGCAAGGATGAGGATATTGAGGAAGGTGATCCCCTCTTGGTTAGAGTTATTCAAGATCCTGAGAATGGTGTTGGCAATCCTCGCAAACTTTGCCAGGCGGGGCCAAAAAGAGGCAAAGTCTTTGTACGTACGGAATCTCAGGGGACCATCGTCCCAAATTGAATGCCCGTTCTTAAACTTTTAAGACATCGCTAGGGATGCTTCATTAATGACCTGCAACCGGGTCTCAAGGAAATCAAGGACTCCCGTCCCCATGTCAGTGCGTTCAAGCTGCAGGCCATCGGGGTAACAGCTGGTGACGCGATCTAGCCGTTCCTTGGCAAGTTAATGGCTCACTTGGTCACCTTTCTTGAAGAAGGCAATAATCAATAGATCGTCAATATATCTTTTACCGGCAATCAAGCGACCATCACTTCCAAGTGCAGACAGAAAGACAAACTCGGCGTGCAGACACATCACGCAGGCAAGGGGAGGGCTTGCCCGTCCTCCCATGGGAATCCCTTGCGTCTGTCGGATAATTAATCCAGACACCATAAAAAACGTGTTTTCCAGCTGGCAGCTTGTTAGTCCCACCAGCTCGCTCAGTGAGACCGACTTCCACCCTGCTTCCCCGTGCGACTTGCCAAAGATGGCAAGTTTCTTCCGGGAGTTAATTCGAATCCATTTGATCCCTCTTTGTCGGAACAGCTCCACGATCCACCTTACTACAATAATAATTTCAGTTTAGGGGAGTTGAGTAAACATTTCCTTGATGTCGTACGTGCGTGCTTCAAGCCCATATCCCTTCGGTGCCAATCGGTTAATCCTGGAAACTTCGGAATCCAGGTCGCCGATTGCCCGAAGGTTAAAATGAGGTGCCTTGGTCCGTTTAATCAATGTATTCAAAGTGGTGGAAAGTAAACGAGAGGCAGCCCGGTAAGGAATCAAGAAATACGGAACTATGAGTCTTTTCTTCTTCTTGTCTTTTTCCTTCGACAGGACATACGCATGTTGCACATCACCCTCAGGATCCCACTTACTGATCTTATCCAAGTGGTTCTCCCCGTATCTCTTTCTCATCTCTGTGAGGACACTTCTTTAGCAGACTGAATAATCTCATAATTCTCATTCTCAATATACATTTTTCGAAACCCTATTTCATACAACTTGGGGCATTCGATCGACGTCTCCACGGTATTACGGTCAAGGGGGGACAGGACCAGACATGTCAGGGACTGCTACCCCTTTAATGTACTCACTCATGGCACAACCATCAGGCCTTGGAACCCCGACCTTGCAAACGGATAACAAGTTCACATGAATCTCCCCTTGTACCACGTCGGTCCTTCGGAGTTCTGAAATGGCGGTGTTACATGCCATATTCAGAGAATCCTTGCTTGTAAATGTTCCTGGAAAGGGAACATTCTTTGAGTTAAACAGTAAAGGGTCAATTTCATCCAATTCGCTTAGTTTGACTGCAACATGCCCATTTAACTTAGGCAATTAAAGGCCAACACATACACAGTCAAAAACATGTGTCTGTGCAAATGGCTTCTGGTTATGCAACAGGTCTCCAACAGTATGGGTTTTCAGCCATACCGCCTTAGTCCTTCTAGCATACAAGTCAGTCAGCGAGACTGGAACAACATTTCACATAATCCGGTTTCTCACAACCGCAACAACTCGTTTTTTGTCAACAGTAGTACACAAGAGAATTCTCACCGTGATACTCAATCTTGGGTTAATTCCAAACTTCC